ATTCTACACACACACACACACACGAGGACCAGAGCCTGGGATCCTGGTGGGCATGTTGGCCCTTTTCTAGTCAATCTCCACTCCCTCAGGACCAGCCTGGGAGCCCAGTAGGCAGGTCTGCCCTGTCATAGTCATGAGTTACTAAATTATTTTACTCTGTAACCTTTGCTGAAGCAAATGACTACATCCTTCTTCCACAGAACAAGTGGTGGGTTTGAACCACCCACCTTCAAGTAGAAGATGAGTACTTTACCCGCTGTGCTGAAGGGCTCCTTCAGTAAAACATGTGGAATGGGTCTAATTCCTCCAGAGTTTCCTCAAGCACCTCGATGGTTTTATATTTGCCAAATGGCATTTACCTGTTTTCATAACCATAAACCATATACTGATGCAGCAATAAAATTAACTTAGGATGTCAAAGCAGGAGAGCAAGTGGGGAAAATAGAGGGGGGGTGTTCTTGCTATTTTCCTATTAATTATCACAAAGTAGTCCTTTTGGAGACATAAGAAGCAGTTTATATAAAATGATATCCTTCTGGATTTCTCTACCTTGATGGAGTTTATACTTTTATAAGCAATTGCATATTTAAATAGGCTTGCCTACTCTTCTGAGAATGATAAAAATCAAATCACAGATGCTCTGCCTTCAGTCTTGGGGTATGAGTAAGTAAGCGCAGGAAATAGTGTCTGCCATGTCTCCAGCTGTTTTAGCAAGCACTTGAAGCATTGCTGATCCATCTTTGCGAGATTCTCCTGAACACCTACCTCCCAGCTCATCGACTCTACAGCAAAAACAAAGAGTGACACAATTCTCTCCACTTGTCTTCCTTCCAACAAACCTCATCTCAAATCGCTGATGCTTGCCACTGCTTTCCACATTCTGAAGTATTTATGCAAATCCAGCACACTGAGCCACCTGAGAGCTGGACAGTGGGCAAGGCTGACAGAAGGAAACTTGCTGCCTGTGAGCTGTACTATTGAGGAAGAGTGCCGAATATCCCATGGACTGCCAACAACAGATATGTCCTGGAGGTGCAACTAGATTGCTCCTTGGAGACAAAGATGATAAATCCTCCTCTCACCTATGTTGGGCATGTTGTTAGGAGAGGCTGTTCCTTGGAGAGGAAGGGGGAGGGTCAGCACAGGAGAGAGAGGAAGACCTGCAGTGAGGTGGACTGCCTCAGTCACTGCCGCAGTGAGCTCAAGGTCAGAGATTGTGAGGATGGCACAGGAGAGGACAGAGGTCAGATATGTTGTTCACAGGCTTGCTAATAGTCTACTGGATGGCACCTTCCAATAGTAACGACAATATACATTATTGCAGACTTCAACCCTCCCACATTGGTGCTGTGCTATTTATGAGTGGGTGTTTCATTCACATGGGTGCCTTGTATGTGACAATATGGTATTGATGTATTTGCTTTTTTAGTTTTCAGGTAACAATGTTTCTTAATTTGCCACAGAACACAGCCCCTGGTATGGGATGACACCTGGATTAGCTGTTAGTCGACTCTGGTTTATTTCCTGTTCTTAGGAGCTGCTAAGTTTGTTCTGACTTGATGACAACTAGATTTTGGTTTTTAAAAATGAAATGGGTAAATGGTCTTGAGGTTCATATTGTTTATCTGGAAATGCCACCGAGTATCTCCATTACAGGATTGTTAACAGATGCAGTTGAGTCTGTTCTGCCCACAGTGAGCTTGTGTGTAACAGAAGGAACAGTTCTGAGCGACCCTTAGGACCTCTGTGTGGGAGAATCAGCTGGCCCATTGTTGAGCCAGTGTCAGTGCAGCCCACTGAGGGCCTTCCACTTTTTTGATGACCCCCCTGCTTTTCCAGGCATAATTTCCTGCTACAGGGAATATCCCCTTCTTTTTTTTTAATTTTTTTAAATTATTTTTGTGTGCGTGTACCGTCAAATCAGATCTGACTGGTACAGGAGGAGATTGCCCCTCCTTCCCCGGCAGAGCATCTGGTGGATTCGAACCGTGCGCCTCTGGGATTGTAGTTGCAGCTTCTTGCCACTAGGCCACCAGAGCTCGGAATATCCCCTTCTGATCACGTGTATAAAGTACGTGAGACTCTAAGGCCAGTTCCAACAGTCCACAAGTTCTCCATGGGCCTGTGCCTCCTGATGCCATGCCCTTCTGAGATGGGAGTCTGCCATGCTCACTTGTAACGGGCATTGTAGCACATCTGCGCACACAGCGAGAGCACTCCGAGTTTTCTCTCTCTCTCACATACACACACGGCATGTGCACAACAAGAACCACACCCACTGCCCCCCCAGTAGTCCCTGCCCCCCCAAGCTCCTAGGGCTCTAAACCTTTCCAAGGAGATTGCCTCATCTGTCCCCCAAGGAACGGCTGGTGAATTTAAACCCTTGACCTTTCTTTTCAGTTGGCAGTCCAGCACATTAGACATTAGGCCACCAGCTCTCCTCAGTCACCCATGATGCTCCAAGACACCTCCTGCGCCCGCACCCTAATTCACCTTTCAGCCACAGTCAACAAGTGCAGGTGGACAGTAACCCAGGAGGCCAGAGCCCTCAGCACCACCAGGCAGCAGTTCCTCAGGAGAAAGCTCAGCACGCAGGAGGAATGGAAACAAGACACAGAGGAAGGAAACAGAAGAGTGCTGTTCCATGTGGGAGTGCAATGCAGAAATAAAAAATATGAAAACAGTTGAATGGGATTTATCCTGTAAACTTTCACCTAAGTCACACAAAAAAGTAAAACCCAAGCAGCTTGAACTTTGCAGAAAATTCTTAAGTATTAACTACTTCAATCAAACTGGAAGAACAAAAAAGAACAGCATGAGTGACAGCAGCCGTCATGAATGACATGGTGACCACCCAGACCGGGAAGTTCATGACCAGCTGACTGCAGCGGAAGCAAATGGTTATGGATGTCCTTCACCCTGGGAAGGCAACAGTTCCCAAGACAGAAATTTGAGAAAAATTAGCACAAATGGACAAGACCACCTCAGAGGTCATCTCCGTGTCTGGGTGCAGAGCCCACTCTGGTGGTGGCGAGACTGCAGGCCTTGGCATGAGCCGCAGCTCCTTGGACCATGCGAAGAAAAACGAACCCAAACACAGGCTTGTACAACACGGCCAGTAGGAGGGAACAAAGGTGTCAAGGAGACAGCTCACAGAACGTAGAAAGGCCAAGGTAAGAGCTGGCAAGAAAGAGGAGTCACCATTCTCCAGTGACTCCATCTGTGATGACTGTGTGACTCTTTCACCGAATAAACCTTTAAAAAGGAGAGCAGACTGAGAAGTTGGTCCTTTTCAGTCCTGATCAAATTCTAGTATTTCATGCTGCTTGTCCTTTGCTTTGGAAGATCCTGACTAGCTGACAGAAACACCTAATTCTACATTTCCTAGGGTTAGCTCCTTTCTGAGGGGAGAAGGATGGGGCCACTTTCTCCCATGTGCTTTAGACCCAACGGGAGGTCGGCTGTGACTTGGTTCTGCTTGGCAGCAATGATGGGTTAAGCTCCAGGAAATAAAAAAATCACAAAGTGGAATAACTTCAATTTATTTGTATCATCGTATCTAAAGCACTATCAATTTCAGCATGTAAACAGTACATTAAAAAAGGCACTTTGTGAGGCTGTGAGCTCTCAGGACTTTTACAGCAGGAAGACAGGCAAACTCAAGCTCGACACACACTCAGGACCTTTCAAGTAACCAAGGCGAGGACTGCTTTGAAGATCTGGACCGAGGACAGAGTTTAAAGTGTGGGTCCCAGGTCACACTGGGCACATTTCACAACCTTCACAGCATGGTGGCCAGCTCACAGGACCACCCAAGGCACGAATGGGGGTGCAGGTGTGACCTGGGCCCCGCAGGGGAGGAGAGGGGTGGCTCTTTCAGGCTGGCCACCTCAGAACACCACCTGACACCCTCCTGATTATTTATACAAACACCTTTGCAGAATATTCTTTATTCTTAGTAAAAGATTCTATTTTACTAGGCGGTTTGTTGTGAAAAGTCGGAGCATCCGGGCGTGTGAAAGTCAGAGTCCCAGCAGCAGCCAGGCGAGGCCGGAGCAGGGCAGCACCTCTTCATCTTCCGACTCTCCACCTGGAAGACAACCAACCAGTCAGTGATTTTCAGACCCAGCCCGCGGAGTCACAGTGCCTTCAACAAGCAGCTGCTTGGTGGCTGCTTGGAAGTTGAGTCTGGCTAACTGACCCCCAGGTGACAGAGTGGAGCTTCCCACAACGTGTCCTAGGGTTCATCATATGTGGACCTGCCGGGGAGGTCTGGACCACCCACTTTTCAGTTGGCAGCAACTGCTTAACCGTGGCACCATCAGGGTCCCTCAGAGTGAACTCCTCAGGTCAGTGAGATCTCTTGCGAGGCAGTAGTGTACCTCCTGGTAACACCTCATGCTGCAAGGAAATGTACTTAAAATTTGGGGCACCCATGACTTGAGATGGACTGACTCAGTGACTGGGTTAATGGGGGTGGGTGTGTCAGACAGTGAGGTTGGCTCAGGATAGAGCAGGGCTCAGAGCTGCTATACACAGGGTCACTATGAGTCACAAGTGACTCGAAGGCACATGACAACAACAACAACATGACTCATCCTTTGGGCATGTTTCTAGGAGAAGCTATTCCTTGGAGATAGACATCATGCTGAGAAAGGTCAAGGGTCAGCAAAAGAGAAGCTCCTCCAGCAGATGGACTGACACAGAGCCTACAGCAATCGGCTCTAGTGTGTCAGAGGCTGTGGGGAGGCTGTGGGCTGTGAGGATGCACAGGGTAGGCCAGGGGTCAGGTCTGCTGCCCACAGGGTCACTGTGAGTTGTACTCAGCCCCATGGCAGCCAACACCACGCTGACCAGGATGCCCAAAGTCGGCTCTGCACTGTGCAGATGCTGCGTCAGCCCTCCTCTGAGGCCCACCACACTGCCACACCCCCAGCACACACCAGTCCACGTCACACCATCAGCCCCCAGCCCTCACTGGAGTGCAAACAGCTCTTTACCTGAGCTGCTGCACCAGCCCACGGGCGGTCAGCATGTGCTGGGCTCCTGATGGCTTGGAATCAGGCGCCCCTGGAGCTGAGCACCTATGGGGAAGGCCACAATTAGTCTCCACTCGTTCCCCGGGACAGGCCATCACCTCCAGCTGCCCAGCACCCATCGCAGGCCTCACTGGGCCACTGCTTTGCACCACACCTTGCCTTTTCATTAAGGAGCTCTGGGGGCCCAGTGGAAGGGAGGTGCAATACCAACTTAAAGGTAGGTGGTTTGAATCCACCAGCTGCTCTATGGTGTAGAGAGATGTGGTCTTGAAAACCCACTGCAGGGCCAGCTAGTCTAATTGGCACTGAGTGCTGGTGCCTTGTCATGAGGAACCCTGCCACACAGTCCCTGAAAGACCTCAGCTGTTAATGAAACTCATCAGCTGCTCCATGAGAAAAGACGATCACAGCCTTGGAGACCCACGGACAGCACTGCTCTTTGCTACACAGCTGCCCTGAGCTGGCATTGACTCAACAGTGGAATTCTGTCATTTTCACTGACCAAACGAGAAACACAGTTCCCCAAGACACTGAAATCAGGGGTTAGCTAATGAGATGATCCCCTGTGACCCCACTGCAGATGGTAATTTGGCCTGGGCACCAACCCCACATCCTTACCTGGCTGTACCAGGCATGTGGTCTTGCCCTCTGCAGTCATGGTCCTGTGGGTGTCTGTGACGGATGCAGAAGCTGCCCCTGCACTTGTCACACACCAGGGACAGCAACTCCTTCTGCCGACATCCTTCCTTTGAGCACCGGTGTGTGAAAATCTAAGGACCAGGTATTACAGAGTTGTGTCGTGTGGGCGGGCGTCTGAGGTGCTCTCAGCCCACCGCCCCAGGAGACAACCCCCTCAGCTCATCGTCCCAGGAGAAACCCCCTGGCCCACTGTCCCTGGCGACAACCCCCTGAGCCCATCACCTCAGGAGACACCTCCCAGCCCACAGTCCCAGGAGACAACCCCCTCAGCCTGCCACACCAGAGACAATCAATCCCCTTGGCCTCCTACCCCAGGAGACAACCCTTAGCTCACCATCCCTGCCCCAACACCTCCTGGCTGAGCCCTCGGATGTCTCACCTTCTTGCGACCCAGGCCCGGGATGGACCTGCAGTTCTGATCCATATGCTTGCTGACCACCACGTCAGGCAGTTCTCCCTTCTTCACTGGGATGGGGCTGTTGCAGAGCGGGCACACTGGCACATGAATGTCCTACACACATGCAACAGGAGGGGACAGCCCAGAGTCAAAGGGGACGTCGGTGCAGCGTGTGTACAGACAGGGCCAGCCACTTAGAGGAGTGGGGAGTCACTTCCATGGGCTGGCAGAAGGGCCCTCCCAAGTCCCCTCAGAGGCGACCTGTGTTGGCTCTCTGCATGGGCACATCCTGCACTATTGTCTAAGCACAGGCTGGTTGTCAACGAGGCCAGTCAGGAAGGCAGCCTGGTGAGGACAGTCCTGCACCTTTAAGTGAGGGGGAGCTGCCACGTGTCCCAAAGGACAGACACGATTAGCCAGGTGCCTTCATTGGCGGTGACCTGTAGGGCTGACTCAGGAGAGAAGGCTTGCCACATGCAGGGCGCGTGCAGGCCCAGGACTGTGGGACCCAGGTGCCAGTCCACAGGATGCCCAGGGCAGGGGCTGGATCAAGAGAAGCTGTCAGGGAAAGAAGATGGTCACTGAGCTCTGGGACAGGTCGAGGACAGCCACCAGGTGGCGCTCCTGGGATCAGCTGTTGGCTAATCTGAGAACTGGTGCATTTCCCATCAGCGTTCCTACCCAGGGACCATTGATCGGTCCCTCAGCGAACTGAGTAACAAGGACTCCATGGCCCTCAGCCTCCAGAGTGTGGACAAGACAGGCAGAGTCGCTGGCCAACAGCAGCCCTGCAGGCACAGGAACGCTAAGCCAGCTCTTTCCCACAGGCCCAGCCGCAGTGAAGGCTTGACAGTCGGCCCGGAAGGCTAGGGCTACTGGAGGCCAGGCCCATGAGTCAGCTCTCTGCATGTCAGCAAGGCCCTGTGCTCAGAGCTGTCCCCAGTCTCTGCTTCTTTCTGAGTCATCTCTACATGACGCAGTCACTGAGATGACCTGCAACCTAACAACTTCCAGGTGAGGGTCCATGGCAGGGACAGAACTTCCAGAGTCAACTCGTCTTTGTCCTTGGGAGTAAGAGACTAAACAAGTGTCAAACTGCCCACAGAGTGGCCAGTGTAGCTGAGACCAGACATTTCACTCCCTGACTAGCATCCGTTCATACACCTCACATGGCTGGTTCTCTGCCACTGGACAGGGCGGCTTTTGAAAGTGAAACCCAGTCGTCCAGACAGTTACCTTTTTGAAGGCAAAAGGACAGCTGTGTGCAGCAAACGAGTAATGATCCTTACAGAAATCCTGTTTACACGCAGCACACGTTATTGGCAGGAAATCTAGACGAGGAGGACGATAAAAAGCAGGTAAGTCTTTGTCTTACAGGAAAGACAAAAGGAGGGTGGGTGGCAGCTCCATGTGAAATGCCTCGGGACTCAGCCATCCGTGGCAGGTGGGGGTGCGGGAGGCTCTGCGGATCTTGGAGAGGACAGGACGGGCCTGGGTGCCATGCTCTGCGGCTCGAATCCAAGAGCAACACTGGGAAAGCACTGGGCAGGCTCCTCCCCCATAGACGGACACCCCTGGAGACCTGATCAAGGGTCGCCAGGCGTCAGCACCTACTGGATGGCAGTGTGCTTGGTCTCTGAGTGACAGCGTATGGTGCCGCACCTACTAGTAGAAGCCACCTGCGTCCCTTCAGTGCCCGGCCAGGACCCTGGCATTAGTGGGACGACAGGCAGATGCTGAACCGAGCATGGGCCTCATGCCGGTGCCAGCACGGAGAAGCAAGTAGCCGAGACACAGCTGACGGCCGACCCAGAGCTATGTGCCCCCATCCCAGCCAGCATGGCTCGTTCTCCATGGACACGCCAACACTTACCGAGCTGCCTGCAAGTGCCTTTTGCACAATGTTTCCCCAGATCCGGGAACTCCATCAGGACAGAGGAGCCAGAGACACCGTGGGCAGAGGACAGCGTCACCTATCACAGAGGACAGTGCTTCAGAGAAGCCAGGACTGTGGTCTCGCCAGCTAAACACAAGTACCCAGGCGCGCTCCCCAGGGCCCCTGTAAGGACTCAACCTCCTCTGCTGATTCCTTCAGAGGCTGGTTCTTGGGCGCTCAGAGGCACCCCTCCTGGGAGTCACTGCTTTTCAGCCTTGAAACTGCTGGTTTACTAGGCTCACCCATGTCTGGGGCCTCTGCGGACGGCTTTTCCATCTCACCTGGCCGGGGTTGCTGGGCTCCACTGACAAAGCTGTCAAGGCAACTGTGGCCTTGGGGGACTGTGAGGCCCCACCTCATCTGGGAGACACACTGCTTACACAGAGGGCCTGTTACTAGGTGCTGGACCACATGAGACTCCACCACCCGCAGGGCCAAAAACTCTGTCCCCTGCTGCTCACGACTCCCTCAAGTACCAAGTGTGACTTTTCTCCTTAATGACAAGCAGCTACATTTCATCCGGGAAGCCCAGCCACAGCACACCCACTGCCCCTGAGTCCGTCCTCACGCATGACCCCATAGGACGGAGCAGGGCCGCCCCCAGATGGTGCCACACTGAGGGTCTCATGCTGGAGGCAGGCTGCTGCATCTCTCTTCCCCCTGGGGAGCGGCTGGTGGGTTCAGTCGCCCTGGTTAGCAGCCAAGCACTTTAACTGCAGAGCCACTAGGGCTTCTTCAGGGAAATAAGAGCTAGCTCCCCATGAGAGGGCAGCTCAGTAAGTGCTTGCTGGCGTGTCCGTTCAAGACACTGGTGCCCACCCCACCAAAGGGAACCCCTTCCCAGCATCCAGGTCCAAAGGCCTGCTGCATCCTGGAATCCTCTCTCTGCGCTTCCCCCAGGCAACACCTACTTTCTCCCTCCAGGTCTGTGTACAGGTGCCTCGTTCTCAAAAATGCCTGTGTGTATGTCTGGTATGAGAATGTATTCCTGCAGCTGCCACCTGGCTGTAAATGGTATTTATGACTGTCCCCTCTCCAGGTTCCCGATGCCCCCAGCCAGCATCTCTAACTTCCCACCATGACCCAGACCTGACCACTATCACTCGAGACACACCTGGGTTCTCCATGGTCCTGCTCTGTAAAATTAGAGCCACTTCTTTTTCCTTCCACCATTGTGTCTCGTTTGGATGAAAGCTGAGAGCTTCCTGTGCAATAATCTGTGTGTATTTTCCGTCACAGCATTGGCTCTAATTACTCAATGGAACAGCTCTCCTCCTCCTTCCTCCCTTGGTTGCTCATGTCCACCTGTCTTTCTTTCTTGCCCCCTTAAGGGCTGTCATCTGAGCTTTGCTTTAGGGCAAATCCTGCCAAAAGGGCCTTTACTAACACCTTCCCACTCCCCATGTAGGCTACACATCCTCTACCCTCAAAGGACCTGCCATTCTTCTCCTGTTTGCTGACTAGAGTAGATACACACACACACACACACACACACACACATGTACAAATGGGGACTGCAGAGACGACCTTGCCCTGTAAAGATTTACAGCCTCAAACAGCTGGAGCATTGCTGCATGGGAATCGACTTGGTGGCACTGAGTGAGGAGGACAGAGTGGCAGAGTAGATTAAGCTTCAGGCTGCTAAGCAAAGGGTGAATGGTTTGAACCCATCTGCCAGTCCACAGGGGGACAATGAGGCTGTCTGCTCCCATGAATGTGGCCAGCCTTGGAAAACGGAGCAGCCTTCTTGTCCAACAAGCTTGGTCTGGGTCAGAGCTGACTTGATGGCAGTAGGCTTGGGGGTTTTGGTGGAACCAGAAGGAAGTTCCATGCTTTGTCCTGGTAGCACAGTGTTTAAGCACTTGACTGGTAACCAAAAGGCAACGGTTAGACTCCACCATCTGCTCCTCAAGAAAAAAAGGTGGCAGCCACGGCCCTCCCTCCAGGCTTGATGTTTTAACAGGCAGAGAGCGCCTGCTGGATTCGAACCTAACACGTACACCTATCAGAGGGTGATGGCACGGACATCCCGAGGCCTGCTGGCGTCGGAGCCCACCGTGGTTCCCGAGGAGATGGAAACGCGCTGGAGGGTCAGTCATGAGACGGTGCCACCTGGACCCAGTGAGCTGAGCCGCTGAGGCCCATTCTCATCATAGAGCCGGTTCCGATTCACGGGCCCTCCAGCCGCTGTCCAGGCTGTACAGTCTGCAGGACGGCGTCGGCCGAGGCAGGGGCGCTAACTCCTCTGCAAGTCCGAATCCGCCACGGACTTCACCGGACAAAGACGGGCAATCTCCCGGGCGAGGTGCAGCCTCGGAGCCGGTCCCACCCGGGCCGCAAAGAGCGTCTTTCCGGGAGGAGACGCCTCCTCCGAGCTGTTGGATTCAAACCGCCCACCTTCTTGTCGGCAGACCACTATGGTACTACTCCGCCAAAGCCCAGAGCGGAGAGCCGCACACCGAGCGGGCCCGGCCGTCTTTAGACCGACGCTGCACCACCGGGTGCAGACGCTCCCGCACGCCCCTCTGCCTCCCGGAGCCCCGTACCTGGCTGTCGTCCGAGACTGGCCGCTGGCAAGGCGAGCGGAAGGCGGAGAAGCCGGAGCCTGGCGCGGGGAGCAAGGTGGAACGGACGGTGGAGACGGGGCGGGGGCCAGAGCAACGGGAATCCCGCAGGAGGACGCAGCATCTCGCTGACCGCCCGTCCCGCCATTTATCCCACGGCGGCGCCGCCGCGCCCTGCTCCTGCCAGGCGCGCCTTGATGACCAACGGCCAGCCACCCAATCCCGCTGCGCAGAGGCTGTGTAGCCCCGCCCACGCGCCGTCGCTCCGCCCTGCTCCGCGAACAGTCCCGCGGCTTCTGGGCGTTGGTGTCCGGTGACGTCAGTGACGTAATGCCGAGTCACTGTCACGGCGAAGTGACGCTGAGTCACGGTAAGGCCGTAAATCACAGTCGTCTTGATGGCATCTAGACAAAACATTAACCTAAAGGCTAATGGTTCAAACCCACCTGGCGGCGTTGTGGGAGGAAGACCTGGGGATCATTTTCTGGGGGAGATTTCCTTTTTTAAACATTTTTCTTTCTCTTCCCTCCCCCTTTTTTTTTTCATTCATTGCTGCACATTTTCTTTTCCTCTCCCCATCAAACCCATTGGACAGGCTTTCCTCTCATCTGGTTTGTTTTTTTTTTTAATTTTTTAAAAAATTTTTATTGTATTATTTTTACGTGTACCCTCAAATCAGATCTGACTGGTACAGGGGGAGATTGCTCCCTCCTTCTCCAGCAGAGCATCTGGTGGATTTGAACCATGTACCTCTGGGATTGCAGTGCAGCTCTTGCCACTAGGACACCAGAGCTCCCTTCTCTCATCTGTTTTAATGTAGTGTTCATTATCCACTCTTTTCCAATTATCTTTTCAACCCCCTATGTCTGTCCTATTTTATAACAGCGGCATCAGGCCGTTGTTAGATCTCGGACTCCAGAGGAACCAGAGAGAAAAAGCTAAAAGGCATCTTTATTAAGGGAGCTCCCCTGCGAGGTTCCGTGGTCTGGAGAGGGGGACTGGGGAACCCGCACTCAAGGTGGATTGGGGCAGCTTTTTATAGCAGGGTCTTTAAGGAGGGAAGGGAGGAACATTCCATTGAGGTTCAGGCCGTTCACGCCCTTTGTTGACATGTCTTATTTGAATCCTTTATTCTCTCCTTTGACCTTGGTCTGGGCCTAACAACAGTATTTGTCCTTTTGTAACTGAGATATTTCACTCAGCATAATGTCCTCCAGCCTCCCCCATGTTATGTAATGTTTTACAAGGTAATTGTTTTTTCAGTGCTGTGTAATACCCAATTGTGTGAATGTACCGTAGCTTTTCTATCCACTCGATTGTTGATGGGCACTTGGGGTGTTTCCAAATCTTTGCTCTTGTGAATAACACAGCAATAAACATGAGTGTGCATACATCTGTTTGGCTTGTGGCACTGCTTTCTTCAGGGTATATTCCCAGTAGTGGAATTACTGGGTCAAAAGGTATTTCTATTTCCAACTCTGTGCCAAACTACCTTCTATAGTGGCTGCACCATTTTACATTCCCACCAGCAGTGAATAAGGGTTCCAATCCCTCTACAACCTCGCCAGCATTTATTGTTTGCTGCCCTGTTGAACTTTGCTATTGTTGCTGGAGTGAGATGACATCTCATAGTTGCTTTAGACCTGGTGATCTTGAAAAATTGTTGTTGTTAGATGTTGTTGAGCACGACCCACGGCAACAACAGATCTGGACCCTGTCCTGTCCTGCACCATCCTCATCATCTGTGACACACGTGAGCCCTTTACTGCAGTCACTGTGTCAATCAATTTGGTTGACGCTCTTCCTCTCTTTCTCTAACCTGCCTGTCACACAAGCACAGTATCCCATCACACAAGCTTAATATCCCTATGCAAGAAGCAGCCACCACTCCTAGCAACATGTCCTAAGTATGTGAGATGAAGCTGTCTGTGTCATCCTTGCCTCTAAGGTGTGTTCTGGCGGTACCCTTCCAAGACATACCTGTTTGTTCTTTTGGCAGTCCACAGACAGAAAGCTTGTGGGCAGTTTTTTGTTACACAGGTTCACTATGAGTCAGAACCCACTCATTGGCACCCAGCAACCGCACTCCCAGCCACAAACATACACCTGGTCTCCTCTGGTTGTCATGGACCCCTTTGGTCACTCCTGTCCCTGGCAGTTTTTATTGAACAGGCTCTTAATGGAAGACATAGGCCTTCCACGATGCCGAATGACCCCGGGATTCCTTCTGATGTGTCCCTAAAGTCAGATTCAGGTGTCTCAACAGACAAGAACGCAGAAATGACGCTGGGTGTACGGCACTGGGTGGCACGGGATTTCAGGCCCCATCTCTGGAGATGTTAATGTTGATCCCTGCTTGTGCTGCCATTTGGCAAATTTCCCCATCATTGCTCTGTTTGTCAGCTGGTGACTACTTTGTAAGATGACA